CTCAAAACCCCCCAACATTCCCCCCAAACCTCCCTCAAATCTTCCCAAAACCCTTCTCAAAACTTCCCAAATCTCTCCAGGGATCCCCCAAAATCTCCCAAAACCTTCTCAGACCTCCCCAAAATCTCCCCAAACCCTCCCCCCAAATCCCTCCAAAACTTTCCAAACCTTTCTCAAAACGCTTCAAATCCTCTCAAAACCTCACAAAAAACACCAAATTTCCCTCAAAATCCCTCCGGGAATAAAAAAAGGGGAGAGAAAATCCCAAAAATCCGCCCCCCCCCTTCCCCTCACGGGTGTGGGTGGGTCCAAGGCGCCCCCGCGGCCCCGCCCCCCCGGTGGCGCAGCGGGATCGGCCCCGCCCCTCACGGGAGGGACCCGGGTTCGAATCCCGGCCTCGACTCCCGTCGGGATTTTTTTTCCCGCTTTTATTTTATTTTTTTTTCCTCGGTTTTATTTTTTTTTTTCCTCCTTTTTTCAACTTTTTATTTTGAATTTTTTTCTTCCCTTCCTATATTTTGTGTTTTTTCGGTTTTCCCTTTTTTTTTTTGCATTTTTCCCCTTTCATTTTAAGTTTTTCCCGCCTTTTTAACCTCATTTTTTAACCTTTTCCCTTTTCATTTTCTCACCTTTTCCTTTTTTTTTTTTAAACATCATTTTTTTACTTTTCCATCTCTTTTAATCTCTTTTTTTTTTCCCCGTTTCCCGTCAACCTGAAAAATCGGAATTGAAATGGAAAAAATTTGAGGGGAAAAAAGTGGAAAACGTGAGGGAAAAAAAAATGGGAATTATGAGGGGGAAAATTGAGGAAAAAAAAAGGAAATTCATTGGAAGAAAGAAAAATTGAGGGGAAAATGGGAAAATCGAGTGGAAAAAAAAACAATTATGAAAATTAAATTAAAAATTAAATGGAAAAATTGAGGGGAAAATGGGAAAAAATGGGAAAAATGAGGAGAATAGGAGAAAAATTAGGGGGAAAATGAGGGGAAAAACTGGAAATAAAATGGAAAGTTTGAGAGGAAAATGAGGAGGAAAATGAGGGAAAATGGGAAATTTGAGAAAAAAAATAAAAA